AAACCTTTTTTTTTAGAATTTCCTCCAGAGACAGTTTATGAGTCAAACCAGAAAAACAGACTTATTGCTATATATATACTTCATGTCATTTATATCATACTTTGAGTCACATTTCATGTCGTACATATACATACACAAATATATATATATACACACAGACATACATACACACCCACATGCACAGTCATACTTCATAAATCCCAAAAGCTAAGGGAACTATGTGTAATGTTGTTAAATTGTCATGGGGTTTTAAGACCTTCCTTCTATGACTCTGACCTTCCAATGTATATAGTAAGGTCACTCCTGTAAGAAAATAAGCAATATGTAGGAAAAAACCTAAGTCATCTGACAGTTCATCAAAAACCGAAGACGGGACCCTTGGGTGGTTCAGTTGGTTAAGCATCCAACTCTTGGTTTCTCCTCAGGTCATGATCTCAGGCTCCTGGGATTGAGCCCTATGCATATCAGGCTCAGTACAGAGTTAGCATGTCCCTCTCCCTCGGCCCAACCCATCCTCCCTGCTTGCGCTCACTCTCGCTTTCTTCCTCTCTCTAAAATAAATAAAATCTAGAAAAAAACCCTGACGATATATTCTTTTGGCAGAGAATGAGACAACTAGGAAAATCTACTGACAGAAGGATTCTCTGCCAGTCAGAAGGGGATTTTTTGCTTGTATTTTTTTTTGGGGGGGGGAGGGACTAGAAATCCTAGAAAACTGACAATAAATTCCTCACAGGAAAAAAAAAAAAAGAATGAAGTTATATCCATCAGCTTTTAGGAACAGTGGGAAGCATGGTGGGAAGAGTCTACATTTCAGAACGAAGCATAGAAATCAACCTCTACTTCTCTAACTAGCTGCGCAAGCTTGGACAAATTCTCCCTCTGAGCCTTACTTTCCTCATCTATAGAATGGACACACAAATGACAGGAGTGTGGTGAGGTTCTATTAGTGGAGGTTCTGACTTCCACCTCCTCCCCCAGTTTTCTGTTACTTAAACTCCTTTTCTTCAGATTAAAGAACAGGAAACCCTGAGGACAGCAAGGGTAAAAGGGCAACCCTTCCAGAGCTTTCAGGCTTACAGGGCTTCAGCCCTCAGGCTCTGCAATACCTGACACAAAAAAATTCCTGGCCACCTTTATCAGCCTTGTCAAAAAGGAACCTTGGCTAGCAGGCAGTCCCTTTGGTTCAAAAGACATTACTAGAGCGCCCTGTCATTTGGGGAAAGAAGAGGCCCATCTAAATCCCTAACACTTTTATTTTCTTTTAAGATTTTATTTATTACCTTGAGAGAGAGAGAACGAGAGAGTACAAGCAGGGGGAGAGGGGCAGAGGGAGAGGGAGAAGCTGACTCCCTGCTGAGCAGGAGGTCCAACACAGGCCTTGATCCTTGGGATCCTGACCTGAGCTGAAGGCAGATGCATAACTGAGTGACCCAGGCACCCCCTATTTTTTCTTTTCTAAACCTTATATGATAAATGTAATATTTTTCAATATAGGGTTATAATACGTAAATATGATACAGTATTTAAACAACTCCACTGGGCAGAAATTGTGACTACTCTGTTCTTCACCACAGAAAAACAAGCATTTAAAGAAATGTGGCCTTTTCTTCAGCGGTGAGGTAAAGAATATGTATAGGGGCAAGGTGCCTCTGGATTTCCTACAGGTTTCCTCCCTTTCTCCCTTGTCCCACACTTCAAAGAATTTTGGGTCCCCGCCCACCCTGAATTGAATGTGGGGGGGCAGGGGGGGGAAATCAACCCAGCTCCATCTCTGCCCAAAGATGTTCAATGTCGAGACTTAGAATAGGGAAGTCTCACATTGTTCAGACTTCCCAATACCGGTGACTCCTGGCCCAGCCAGTGGCTCCACACCTTCTCCACATTTGCCTTCGGACAGTCACCTCCTGTATCCTCTGCAGGAGCCCAGGTCTCTGCTTGAGAGCAGGAAAGGGGGGGGGGGAGCACAAGGCCCAAACTCTCTTGAGTTCTTAGAAGAAGAGTACTTCTAAGTAGTTAGAACATTTTACTATTATTTTTTTTAAGATTTTATTTATTCACTCATGAGAGGAGAGAGAGAGAGAGAGAGAGCCAGAGACACAGGCAGAGGAAGAAGCAGGCTCCATGCAGGGAGCCCAACGTGGGACTCGATCCTGGGACCCCAGGATCAGGCCCTGGGCAGAAGGCAGACGCTAAACCCCTGAGCCACCCAGGGATCCACACACTTTACATTTATCATGACTGCGATTGTTAAGAATAACTACCATTTATTGAACTCTTTTTGTGTGCCAGGTAGACAGTGTATTATTGCACTGAATTTTCACGTCAGTCACTTGGGGCTTAATCCATCATGGCTAAAGACAGAAGCTGCGGTGAAGAAGCATGCCTAAGGTCCCAGGGCTGGAAAATGGCTGACGTCAGGCACCTCACAGGTTGCAAAACTATTTCAAAATTGTCTGTTATTCTTCACTTTACTCAGCGAGATACATTTTCTCTAAAGAAATGAAGGGACAGATGGCTTTAAAGTCCCTTCTGTGGGTCTACATGACTGATCCCTGAGAGCAGTGCTTAGACCTGTCCTTAGTAGGGCAATGGTGGGAGCCAAACAGAAGCCTACTATCCTGGATGATGCATGGCAGATTTTAATCTGACTCTGAAGAAGGCAGGGTGTGGTGGGACACTAGATACTGGCAGCAAACAACCAGATTATGATGTGACCTGACACTGTTAAGACAAGGAGACAGTTTGGTACATTGGATGCAGGGCCATAGAATTCTGGAATTTGCGGGAGGGAGGGGGTGGGTGGGGGAGGGAACCAATACCCTGCCAGGAAAGAAAAAGGCAGAATGGCCTAGGTCAGTGGATGATTTTTGGTGCTTGTTGAACCAGTTCAACCCTACCTCGATGGCTAGGGGCTCAACATGGCTATGATAATTTACTGCATTTTCATTTCTTGTTCAGATGAAAGTGGGACCTGCCAAAAGTTGCCAGCAGTAAAGCAGTGAACTGAGCCACTGAGTTATTTTCATATCTATACTGCTTGGTATATGGGAATTAAATTTCTCCTGACTGGCTTTAATGGAAGTTAATTTTAACATTAGTAATCTTGATTCAAAAAAAATTGCTTTTTTTGGGGGGGGTTGTGTAGAGGGAGGCAGTGGAAGAGGAAACGTTTTCTCAGAATTATGAATTGGCAACCTTGGATCCTTGTCACAGGTCTGTTCCTAACCAACTAGGGTAATTGCGAATAAATCTCTTAAACTTCAGATTGCTCACCTGTACAATGAGATTCTAAAAGGCAGGTGATAGGGACGCCTGGGTGGCTCAGCAGTTGAGCATCTGCCTTCGGCCCAGGGTGTGACCCCGGAGTCCTGGGATCGAGTCGCACGTCGGGGCTCCCTGCAGGGAGCCTGCTTCTCCCTCTGCCTGTGTCTCTGCCTCTCTCTCTCAGTGTCTCTCATGAATAAATAAATAAATCTTAAAATAAAATAAAATAAAAGGCAGGTGATGTTTGATATTAATGTTCTATGTGACAAGCTAGCATTCCATGGGTAACTGCAACAGTAAAACCAAATCCAATGAACAGGTGCCCTTAAGTCCTATGTTAAGTATCCCTAAATGTCAAATGCTCTAAGGCTCTGACACATGTGAATGAATGGTTGTCTTCATCCTCAAGGAGGGACCTTTGATGTTACACCACAGTAGAAAAGCTTCCCCCTCACAATGTCCCCATCTGATATGCAGAAGAGGAAAGACAAGTGAGTAAGAGTACAGGATTTGGAAGCTGCATTCCTGGGAGTCAAGACTGGAAGCAGCCTCCTCTAGCTGCTCTGACTCAACTCTGGTCCATCTTGTGCAAGTTAAAAGTTCCAACTCTCACTAGGTGGGACCCATCACCTGCTGGGGCTCGTCAGGCCTTGGATGTGTGCTCTCCCAGAGGCTGAAGGTGTGTTCTTCGATATCCCGGGACCCACTGCCACACTGAAAGACAGACAAATGGGATGCGAGATTCACTACAAACACCGCAATGCTAATGAATTCAACACACAGTTTAAAACCTGCAAAGATTATATTTTTTCAAAATCATGTTCAATCTGTGTTTATGCCTGGCGGTCACAAACCTACCCAACTTGTTAGAGGAGAGAACAGGAAAAAAAAACAAAAACAAAAAACAAACCCAAAGAGGACACTAAACGCTAGGTAGGACGGCTTCTAGAAATCAAGAAGGGCAGTTTCTCATGTGGTCGGACAAACAGACCATTTCTTATCTCTCTCGCCCACCAAAGAGTTTGGACCCTTGCTTCCAAGCGTCGGGGGGCAGCTGAAGCCCACTTCGGTGCTTCAAGGGCCTTATGATAGGCTTTGGGTATTTTCATGGTTTCTCTTGTTGAGGAACTGCGGCCTCCACGTCGATGATTCTCCTCCTCATTCCACTCCCTCCTCCCTCTTGGATGGTTCTATAAGCTTTTCCTGCGTTCAGCTGATCACTTTTCTTCCCCAACCAAAATAGTGTCAGGGGATTGCCTAAATTGGGGGGGGGGGGTGTCCTTCTACAAGTACTAAGAGAAGGGTGGGGGGATGGGTTACTGCCCACGACGCGGGCACTTTAAAGGCTTCTGTTGTATTTTTTCAAGATTTTATTTATTCTTGAGACACACACACACACAGAGGGAGGCAGAGACGCAGGCAGAGGGAGAAGCAGGCTCCGTGCAGGGAGCCCGATGCGGGCCCATGCCCTGGGCCAAAGAAAGATGCTCCGCCATTGCCCCCCCCCGCCGGGTGCCCTCTAAAGGCTTTTTAAATTTTTTTTATTTTTATTTTTATTTATGATAGGGAGAGAGAGGCAGAGACACAGGCAGAGGGAGAAGCAGGCTCCATGCACCGGGAGCCCGACGTGGGACTCGATCCCGGGTCTCCAGGATCGCGCCCTGGGCCAAAGGCAGGCGCCAAACCGCTGCGCCACCCAGGGATCCCCCCCCTTCTTTTTTTTTTTTTTTAAGGCTTTTGCTTTAATCACGATTTGAGACCTGACAACCAGGAGGAAAGCAGGAGCTTCCGTCTGCGGGGACTCCCACCTTCAGTCCCAGGTTGAACTTTCCGCAGAGTAAAAGAAGGCATCATCACCTCATCACTTCCTGGGTTCCGCGGTCATGTCTCTACGCTGGCAGGTATTTCCTCTGCGACCCAAACGCTTTCCTAGCCCTTCATTAGCAACAACGTTCCCCGCGCCTCTGGTTCCTCCATTGCCCGGGTGACGCTCCCGGCTTTATTTGTTTATTTATTTATTTATTTATTATTTTTTCTACTTCCCCAGGCCTGAGCCCGCCCACCGGCGTCGAAATCAGCTCCTTACTGGTTGTGGCGTGTGCTCGTCTTCTCAGAGAGCCAATCAGAGCCTCGCTTGCTACCCCGGGATTTGGGAAACGGAAAAGCCCCCGACCGGTTCCTGGGGAGTGGGGTGGGGCCTCACGTGAGTGACAGCTCGACCCTCCAATAGGAAGAGCGCTGGGACCTACCCCCTTCGACTCGAGAGCTAGAAAAGAGCGTTGATGCCCGCGGCCGTGATGAGTTGTAGGTGGAGCTGGTTGCTCCGCGGCTCCGAGGAGCGGCGGCTGGTGCTGGTGCTGGTGGGGCTGCTGCTGCTGCTGCTGCTGGGTGCTGGCCTCCTTGCAGGTGAGTGGTCTTGTTTTAGGATTTTGCTGTTGCAAACCCTTCCGGTTTTAAATGACGGGGTGTTTTCGCTTGGATTGCGGGGAGACCAGTTCTTTACTCCCCCGATTCCCTCTTTGGAGGGAACCCGGTGCTCGCCCGCCCGCCCGCCCGCCCCTCCAGCTCCTACCCTCACGTCCACCCTCCAGGCCCCTCTCAGGTCCCTCTCTCACGATGAGCCTTCCCGGGACTCCCAGATCTGTCAGCTGCAGGGAGGGCTTCGCCTCGGTCGGGGTGTCTTGACGGCAAGAATACACAGGAGTTGGAGGGAGTGATGAGCCCATCTCTCCGGGACGTTTGAGGCACAAGTGTAGCAGAGCCCCTTCAGCAGTGGGGGTCCTGGAAACCAGCTCCCGGTGCTTTCAGGGCCACCTCCACTGTGTTTAGGGCGATGGCAGACCTACCCCTAAAAGTCTAAGTAGATAGGAAAAAAAAAAAAAAAAAACCTCGAATGCAGGGAAGGAGAAAGAGGTGACTTTCTGCACTGGTTTCATGTAGCTCTCAAATCGACCTAAATCACAGGTTCTTAGACCCACTAGAAATTAAAATTAAAAAAAAAAAGTTTATTGCTCCTCCGTTTCAAAGGGATGAGGGGGCTACATTACTAGAGAGGGCCAACAGAAAGGCATAATGGAAGTAAAGTTCACAGTTACTTTGAAAAAGTAAAGTTAAAGGATAATTGGTTGTCGGCTAACTTACTATGATCCTCTTCCCCCACCACCTCCCTGCCAAATCATGGAGGGTTTACAGCTTGTCAGTGGTACCAGAATGTTCATGGACCGAATACAGATTTTTTTGGAGGAAAAAAATCAATTGGTGTCTTTAACCCTAAGGTACTAGGGTTTTCTGTCATGAAAGCAGAGCACACGTCAGCTTGTACTTTGTTTTAAAACTCTCTCCCCCGAGGCCAGCAAGTAGGTTTTATCCATCTTTGTTTTCCTGTAGCACCTCCCACATAGATGCACCTCATATGCTGGGTGGGCTTTCTTTTAAGTTTTTATTTTTAATGCTAGTAAGTTAACCTGCAGTGTTATATCCCTTTCCTGTATACAATATAGTGACTCAACACTTGCATATATCACCTGGTGCTCATCACCACCGCCTTCCTTAATCCCCACGGAGGTGGACTTTAGAGAAATGTAATTCAAGCAAATGGTATAGTGTCCCGAGCTCTGAGTTGGAAGTCAGGGCACCTAGGTTTTAGTCTTGAGGCTGTTCCTATTTGTGTAATCTTCAACAAATCATTTCAATCCTCTGGCTTATTTTTTGCAGCATCTTTAAAAAAAGCAGATGTTGCAGTAGATTATTTCTGAGGCCCATGCATGTGTTAAAAATCTGTTTTAAAACTAAAGATGATTAGACATTTTCCACCCCAAGTACAATAAGCGAAAAATCTCATAGCAGTAAATTCTGGGTCAATCTGTTAGCAAATAAAAGTTCCCATCTACAAAGGGTAGTACTTGTTCTTTTGTGCTCCTCTTTAAGCCAAACCCAGTGGATCATTGTAGAAAATTTGGTCTTTGTACAGAATGACCATTGTACAGGGTATAATGTGGCAGAAAATGTCATGCTTTATTCCATCACTCAGAGGTAACTCAGAGGTTAGTGTTTGAGCAGATCTTCCAGTCTCTCTTCCTCTTTTGCCTTCTACAGTTGGTTGAGATTAAGTGACATATTTCACTTTAAGTAATGACTGATACATCTACATTCAGCCGTGCCTTCATCTTTGTGGGTCTGGTGCTCAGAGAACAGAGAACACACAAATATTTGAACCAATGGTCTCTTGAACATCCTCGGAATGAAATCTGGTGTGAGAGAATGTTTACATGGAGAAATAAGACTCAAAGTATTACTTAATAATAAAGTTTTCAAGGAAATTTGGCCACAAATACTGAAAAAGCAAACATTCTATAAAATGTAGAGTAAATGTTAGCCCCTTGAGTAAAGCATTTGGATTGTAGTATACTGCGTAATATTTGGTATGCTTCTAGAGCTGTATCTTACCATCAACTCCCCATACCCCCAACACATACTGCATTTGGTTGTATTTCTCCTCCCACTACCTAATTTAACCTTTTCTCTTTACCCTCATCTTCATTTTGCTTTATTCCCAGCTTTTACTTTGCATATACCCCAGCAAGGTAGGATCACTTTCAGGGCCCTGAGTCCTGTGCAAATTTTCATTAGTCTGCTCCCTTCACCCAGGGCTACCTCTCACTCTTTGGCAGAGTGCTTCACCATAATCTCATTTAGTCTCCCTAATAGTTCCTTGAGAACAGCAATTATCCTGGTCTTTATGGATAGTTTGAAGCCCAAGGTCCAGAAAGTTTGAATCACCTGATCAGTATCACACTATCAACAACTTGCAGAGCTGGGACTAATGTCTGAGTTTCTTGACTTCAAACTCCTGGGGTTTGGTGGAAATAGTTTGTGTTGACAAAAGCTATTATCCTGGGGGAATAAGTAACCAAAGTTAGGAAGGAGGTGTCATGAGTGGTTGTCATCAGTGATGCCAGGCAGGCTGGAACAAGCAACGTCCCCCAGGCGAACACTCATCTCATTACACATGTAGATAGATCTCCCTGTGAACAGGGTCTACCTGCTATGGTTTGCTACCGGGGTAACAAGTGATCAGTAAGGGCTGCTGGTAGATGTAAAGTTAAAGAATGACAGGACTATAGTGCCTGGAAAATACCTGGAAGTCAGAGCATTTGCTTCTGGTAAAGAGGTGTTCTTAGAGCGCAAATGGGAAAGTTACTGTAAAGCTTTAGGAAAAGTTAAATAGATGGTGAAACACAGGGTACTTTTAGGTACAGTCATGTTTGAACTTTTAATATTGAGCTTGATTTTGGGGAAAGAGTATTTTGTTAAGACTTTAAGGAACTGAGCTCTGGATTTCATTTCCCTTAGGAACTGTTCCTTTTTTTAATTTATCAGAAATACGAGTAACCTTTTTTTCTATCCTCAAATACAGCCAGCCTATCTTTTATAGAATTAGATTCCTATGGAGTTAGATTAAGAGTTGCTCAAAGCTATGCAATGAGGATTTGGACTGGGGAAAACACCTGAGTCATTGAGGGTAGCATTTGAATATCTAATATTTAAGGGTAAGCTTTTGATCAAAGCAGCTCTGGCTCTGTATCCCTTATTTTATGTTACTTCAACATTATATCATTGATCACACTTCTTACTCAGTTTTTGGAAGCTAAGTTTTTAGACTGGTCTTTATCCTATAATTTTCCTCACTTGTTCATGAGTTTTCATACTAGCATATTAGATATTATTACTTTTCAAACACCTGAGGAAGGGAGGTAGCAATGTCTCAGGAGCATTAGTTTGGAAGACAGGACGAGCCTCAGTTATGGTGGAGGATGAGGAAGGAATGTAAAATTATATGGTTTAATGAGGGGCAGGAGTAGGAGGCAGTGGCGAGATCATCATGCTGCGTTTGTTGAAACTACCTAGAGATCCTGGAAATATTTGCAGAAGCAACCTCAGTAAATGTAGGGCTGTGTATTTACACCAGTCTCCTCCTACCTACTTTCTCTAGCCCTGCCTTGCCAAAAGGATGCTAATTCTAAAAACATATAACTTCAGATTTATTGAGGCACTTATGGAAAGAATATCTTTTATTTGTAGGCAATTTGGATGGTATTTCTATACTACATATAACAAAAAATCTTTGAAAATGTCACTTTCATAGTGTGTTTCCTTTGAATCCCGTCTCTTTTCTGCTAAGCCAGTTGCTCAGTTTGTATGCCCAAGCAAGTGTACATTCACCTGAAGTGTGAAGCACTGTGACAATTTATGAAGATGTCTGAGAGAAATAAAGCATCTCAAAATGACATCTTTTTGAAGTTGGTTAACAGCATAAATACTTTTTTCTATAATTTTACTGTGAATCCATTATTAAAGCAATTAAGCAAAAGTAAACTCTGATTTGAATGTGTGTAGTATTGTCTTCTGTGAGGAATAAAAACAATTATGAATGGGATTCCATTACTCAAGGTACTTGCAGTTCTGGCCAAGAATAAAATCAGGTGATTTAATAATTCTGAGATTATCCCACGACAGGATACTTAAAGGTTCAAAATGTGAGATGATTAGGCCAGGGATTGGCAAACTAAGGCCTTCTGGTCTACTACCTGTTTTTATATGGCCCACAAGCTATGAATGGTTCTTACCATTTTTTTTTTTTTACCTGTTGGAATAAATCAAAGAATGACACTGTTTCACGTGCATGAAAATGATATGAAATTCTAATTTCAGTTTCCATACATAAAGTTTTACTGGAAAAAAGCTTCATTTATTCATTTATGTGCTGTCTGTGGATGCTTTCAGCTACAATGGCAGAATGGAGCATTTGCAACAGAGAAAATAAAGCCCACAGAGCCTAGACTTTACTATCTGGCCTTTTACAGAAAAAGTTGCCAACACCTCTGCTAAGCTGTAGTGTCTTTCATATCCACCTCCTTCATCTCCTCTCAGCAGTCATTATCCTGGTTCCAGGTCTTCATTACATGTTACCAGAACCATTGCAAAAGCCTCTCAGGTATTCATATCAGTGATTTTCCCCATCTCATTCTGTGTTTGTAGGTGTTGCATGATCCTCCTAAAATATACATTATTAAACCTTTAGTGACGTCCCAATACTTACAGAAGAATGTATCTTCTTCTGCACAAGGCCTTTCTGGAGCCACTCTTCAATCTTATCTTTCTAGGCTCCCTCTCGCAATTCCCTTGATATACCCTGTACTTAGGATAGGGATCATATAATTTTCCAAATGGGATACTCAAGTGTGAAAGGGGCCCTATAATAATTATGTTGGGGAACTAGGCCTAAAGCAAAAGGGCTCTAGGCAAACCGGGAAATGCTGTTAACTCCAGCCAGTTTGAATGGGTCACCATTCTCTGTATATACCTGTTCTTTTGCCTCTACTCACTATTCCCTTAGGCTAGAATTC